CAGACCTTTTATCCATTTGTTTGGGGTTTTTGTTTTATTTGTTTTGATTTCTTTCTATTGAGTTGGGTGAGTTCCTTGTGTATTTTTGGTAGTAACCCTTTTCTGAATATGTGACTTACAAATACTTTCTCTCATTCCATATGCTGCCTTTTCATTTGTTGGTGGTTTCCTTTGCCAACAAAAGCTTTTTATTTTGATGTAGTCCCACTTATTTTTGCTATTGATGTCAAATCCAAAATATCATTGCTAAAACCAGTGTCAGTGAACTTCTTCTCTATTTTTTTCTTCTAAGAGTTTTACAGTTTTGGGTCTTATGTTCAAGTCTTTATTAATCTTGAGTTAATTTTGTGTAAGATAGAGTTTCATTCTTTTGCATGTGGCTATCCAGTATTTTCCAACACTGTTGATTGAGGATACTACCCTTTCCCCCATTGTATATTCTTTCTCCTGTGCCATAAATTAATTGACCATATATACATGGGCTTATTTCTGGAGCATGTATTTTGTTCCCTTGATCTATGTGACAGGTTTCATGCTTGTACCATACTATTTTGATTACTATAATTTTGTAATATAATTTGAAATAAGGAAGTGTAATGCCTCCAGCTTCGTTCTTCTTTCCCAAGGTTCCTTTGGCTATTTGGGGTCTTATGTGTTTCCACACAAATGTTAGGATTGTTGGTTCTATTTCTGTGAAAATTGCCATTGGAATTTTTATAGAGATTGCATTAAATCTGTAGATCTCTGGGTGGTATGGACATTTTAACAGTATTAATTCTTCCAGTCCATGAGATGAAATAGCTTTTTGTTTATTTGTCTTCTTCAGTTTCTTATATCAATGTCTTAAGCTTTTGGCTTATAGAATTTTTAACCTTGTTGGTTAAATTTAGCCCTAAATATTTTATTATTTTTGATGCTATTGCGAGTGGGATTGTTTTCTTAATTTCCCTTTCTGATAGTTCATTGTTGGTATAGAAAAATACAGCTAATTTCTGTATGTTGGCTTTTTGTTTTTTGAAATATAGTTGATTTACAATGTTGTGTTAATTTCTGGTGTACAGCATAGTGATTCATCTATATATAAATATTTTTTATTATAGGTCATTATAAGGTATTGAATATAGTTCCCTGTGCTATACAGTACGAACTTGTTGTTTATCTATTTTATATATATTAGTATCTGCAAATCTCAAACTCCCAACTTATCCCTTCCAATCCCCTTCCCCCTGGTAACCATAAGTTTCTTTTCTGTGTCTGTGAGTCTGTTTCTGTTTTGTAAATAAGTTAGTTTGTCTTTTTTTAGGTTCCACATGTAAGTGATAGCATGTGGTATTTTTCTTTCTCTTTCTGGCTTACTTCACTTAGAATGATGATCTTCAGTTCCATCCATATTGCTGCATTATTTTATTGTTTTTTATGGCTGAGTAGTATTCCATTGTATAGATATACCACAACTTCTTTACCCAGTCATCTGTTGATAGACATTTAGGTTGTTTCCATGTCTTGGCTACTGTAAATAGTGCTACTATGAACATTGGGGTGCATGTATCTTTTCAAATTAGTTTCCTCCAGATATATGCCCAGGAGTGGGATTGCTGGATCATACGGTAACTCTTTCTAGTTTTTTAAGGAATCTCCATACTCTTTTCCAAAATGGCTGCACCAAACTGCATTCCCATCAACAGTAGGAGGGTTCCCTTTTCTCCACACCCTCTCCAGCATTTATTGTTTGTGAACTTTTTAATGATGGCTATTCTGACAGGTGTGAGGTGATGCCTCATTTCAGTTTTGGTTTGCATTTTTCTGATAATTAGCAACACTGAGCATTTTTTCATGTTCCTGTTGGCCATTTGTATATCTTTATTGGAGAAATACTTCGTTAGGTCTTCTGCCCATTTTTGGATTGTGTTGTTTGTTTTTTGTTATTGAGTTGTATGAACTGGCGTAACTCAGTCCTGAGTGAACTTAGTGTTACTAGGTTGCTCACAGTTAAGCTGCTCATCGTTGTGTATGTGCAAATCAGAAATGTGAAATTCAGGACTATGGAGGTAAAAGCAACCTTGAGATTACTCTACCTCTCTACCTGCTTCACATTACATGAGAAAGTCAGCATTACAAATGGCAAGCAAATTGAGTGTGTAGCATTGAATATTCAGTGCCAGAAGTCTCATTTAAAATAATCTTCTGTGTAATTTACAGTCTCATACCAAAACCCATGATATAATTAATTTTGGTGACTTTCAGTCTGATTCTTGATGGCAAGTAGGAGAACTGTGACTATAGGTCAATAATCTTTCCTTTTTTCACCTTATTAACATTTTGCTGGAGGAACTGTTGAAAGAGGGCATCTATCTGACGGAGCAAAGCCCTACAGGCAGTGTGTCTGGAAAAGTCCTAGTTAACGGCTGTCACTGTGACGTAGTCAATAAAAACACCCCCTTTCATTCTCAAGAGAGTCCCGGTTTGAACAATAGATTATATAGAAACCCTATGACCAGGAGGTGGTACCTCTCTGTGGCCACCACTGTTCAGGGGCTGGTTTGCACCTTTGCAGAACCAGCAGCTCAGGGTGATGAGGACACAGGCTGATCTTGTGTGGGAGGAAGCTGGTTCCTCACCACAGACGTGACAGGAGACCGATGCCCAAACAATAACACTATGTTTTTAACTTATTATGAATACTGTAACTGCCAAGCAGAGTGGAAACCAATGTTGGTTTCTCAGTATATTCTCTCCCTTGAAGGGTAGTCTCCTTGGAAAGCTCACAGTCCTTAGAATTACCAAAATCATAATTCTTGTGGATGAGGAGACCCAGGTGATCTGGGTTCACTGGAGGAGCTGCTGTAATTTGCAAGACAGGTTTCAATACTTGGTACCACACGAAGTATAGCCTATGTCCTACTAAGTTTTCCTTTACAAGCAGGAAGTGGCTTTGGTTTTCTTTCCAAAGAGATATGTAGGGTCAGCATCAGCTACAGGTAAAGAAGAGGGATATGAGCTTCCAATCAACCCTCTCCTCTGTTCTTTACTAATATTAGGTCCAAGTTCCCTCACCCATCGGCCAGGCCTGTTGGGGCTGATGTCAGTGGCAGACATTCTCTGATGCCTGAGTTCAGCCAGGAGCAGCCTCCTCCACTCCTTCCTTGTTGCAACATTGGAGGTTACAGAGGTTGTAAATATTGAGTGTACTTAGTGTGAACTGTGAACCACTCCTCATCACCCATCCCACTTCCCAGTAGACAGTAGATGCAATGCCCAGAAGAGGATTAAAATCCAGCTTTATTGGTGGATTGAAGAACACAGTTAGGATCTGAGGCCAAAGTGCGGTTTCTTTCATCCTCTCTGAAGTGATGACAGTTGAGCCCACTGGGTGGGGCTCACCAAACTTACCCACCCCGTAACAGACTGAGGCTGGAACATGGAGAACCGGTCCTGGGTAGGCCCAGCATGGGCAGGTCCTGCTGGATCTGTTTACTGCATGTAGACTGGAAGCCCAAAAGCAGGTCCAAGAGAGAGAGAGAGAGAGAGAGAGAGAGAAGAAGCAGGAGGACAAGTAAGCAGGGTCCTTTAGCACATTATTTCCGCCCAGTAGAGAAAGGCGGCCCCAAGTCTCAGTTCATCAACCCCAACCATCCCGAGGTCACCCCAGGTGGAAGCTTCTCCCCACTTCTTTCCTTCCAAGCTGGAGTGTGGTTAGGAGATCTTTGCTCTATTTGGCTGAGCAAGGAATATACAAATAATGAAAAGGGTTTTTCCCAAGAGGCAAGGTTGAGTCAGGAGCCTGGACTGCTCAATGAACAAATGGCCAAGGGCCGTTTTGTGCGAGCCTCCCAGTCTACAGACATTAAGGCAAACAAGGTGCTGATGAGCGTGCTGGAGTCAGGACTGTAGGTCTGAGTCACCTCACATGCCTGAACACGGGCCACCGAATTCCTTTTCTTGCCTGTGCTCTGGAGCTGGGACCCCTGAGGACTGCTGAGGACGAACTTGACAGACTTCACCACCCTCAGCCCCCAGAGGGGTAAAATGGATGAAGGGGGTCAAAAGGTACAAACTTCTAGTTATAATTAAGTCCTGGGGATATAATATACAGCTTGGTGATTCTAGTTAACAATTCTGTACTGTATATCTATCTGCAGGTTACTAAGTCAGCAATCTTAAAAGTTCTCATCATGAGAAAAAGAATTTTAACTATGTGAGGTGATGGACATTGACTAAACTTGTGGTAATCATTTTTCAATATATACATGTATCAAATCATTATGTTGTACACCTAAAAATAATACACCGGTATTTGTCAATTACATTTCCATAAAACTGAAAAAAAAAATCTTGACTAGGCCACCACAGCTAGGGTACAGTTCACCTGGACATCACTGGTTCCTATAGTAAAGAGAGCCCCCCTTTTACTCCATTCAGAGCAACACCTTCCGGTTGTTCCGCAACTGTCAGGTGTGGAGTTGTTAGCTTTGTGCCAGACCAAAGCAGAGGGCCTTTTAGACCATGCTGAATGGAGGGGAAGACAGGAGAATAGTAAGATTTTCACAGGGCCTGTGAACAAATAGATGTTTAATGGCAAGTGTTGCAGAGTTGGGTCGGATGTAGGTCTCTCTGGCACAGGAAATAATGACTTTCTAACTGCTAGCGCTCTGAAATCCTTCCTCCTCCCTGTCATGCAGAACACCCTTCTTTTTTTTTTCCTGTGCTTTTCTATTTCTCTATTTCTAATGCCACTAGAGAAACAGAAAACTAGAATGCCACTAATTAAACTATAGATGTCATTTATGTTGGGTGCATTTCTAGTGCACTCACTGTTTTTGCTTTTAGCCTGGGTAGCTCTGAAAAGGTTAATTCCATCCATTACCTCTGATTTTTTTCCCCCCTGCTGTCACCATTCTAGGGTGACCTCACTTCATGGTACTAGATGGCACCTTTCTGTAGTTTCCAACAGGCTATTTATTCAGCTTTACTTTGAATAAAACTAAATGATTGCAGAAACATTTTTCCCCAGAGTATTTTTATTAGGGATTCCTGCCACCATATTAACATATAAAACAATCTGGATGTTGACATAGAAATGCAGATTTCACTATACAAAGATAAGGCTCCAATCACAGGTAACATGGCCCCCATATCTCTAGTATTTCAATGAAATCGATTCATTTTGAATTCTTCCCAGAGTTGTCTTTATAAATATTAGACAAGCCACAAAATATATTCCAGGTACATAACATTTTACAGTATGTTCCAAGCACAGACAGAAATACACGACACTTCACCTACATTTTTTTCATGATCCAACTTGCATTAGCACTAAAGACAAGATTGTGTGTGTATATGTATTTGCCATATATGTGTGTATACAAAACCACAAATATACACATGGTGGTTTTCATGGAAAATTGAACCCTTTGAGACTGGGTTTTATCCACTATGATATCTGAGAGGGAAAAGGAATAACAATGTGTCACAAATTCCACTACTGGGGAAAATAAAAACAACTACGTACGAAGGGCGTATCAGTTGTGTGTATACAAATACACACATATATACAGATTCATATAGTAACACATATATACCAATAATATGGAATATACATATACTCACACACTTGCTTTGAATTCTGTATCTCACTGTATTATATATTCTCCATCTTTGGAAGCAGTCTTTTCCTCATTTGATTCAGGCAACTGGTGACTGTCTTCTAACAAAACTTAAGTGGATATTTTCTAAAAGACACTGATTCTATCCTGACAAAATGACATTTCAGGATCCGAGTTTTACCTCTCGTAGCTAATGTTTAAATTCAGCAGACTCTCCTGTCAACTCTTTCACTTAAAAACATTTCTACTTCAACAGTGAAGGTTTTGTCTAAGAGAAAAGAGATGTTAGCTGGAAATGTTAAAATTATATGTTTATTAGTCCTTAATGTAAATCTGCATGGCTGGACTATGTGTGATATTTATCCGGTCAGTATTTTTTCAGTTTTATGATGGGCAATAAATTACTTCCATAATTAAAAAATACTGTTTAATATTAGTTTAAAGGGGCAAGGGCTGGATGATTTGCTATGGTTAGAACTTCAAAGACAATGATGTGAAGCATGATTAGAAGGGGGTACTAATTGTGTTCCGACAACACTAGTGTACCCTTATGTCAAAAAGTATGACTTTAAGCCATAAATAAGGGGGGGGAAATGTCAGTTTCAAAGGTGGCCATTTGCAGACTTCCAAAATAAATTATAGTTAATTGATTTCATTATTGGTATTGAATTGCAGGAGTCAAGTACATAAGAAAGAACACCCTATAAACTTAATAGCAAATTATAGTTTGCTCAACTTAAGGCTTGATAAGCTGACTGTGAAAACTGATTTACAAAATTAAATGTCTAATAAAGCCCTCTGTGCTCCACAAATGAGTAGGACTGGAATGGCCAATTTGGAAATTATGCTAATGGGAGAGCTGGAGTTAGGGAAAGACTACAGGCAGCCCAGTCCCTCTGAAAACATTCCATGCCTTCATTTACAGTCTGGAGAAATCCCTATGCTTTATGCCCTAAGCTCCTTACTCTTCCCTTTCTCACTTATAGCTCAGTATTGGTAAGTATTCTCCACGGGAAGGCGTCGGAGCCTTTCCGTCCTGGATTTAATGGTATCAAGGTAATTAGGGCATTTATCCCCTGTACTGTCAGCTTAGGGAGTCATTTCACTACTTCATCGAAGCCAAAATGGTATATCCATCTAATGAGTCCCCTCCACTTTCTTAATGAGAGCCCCAGTTAATGAATGAGGGAAAGGAAACTAGGAAAGTAAAGGTGTATAGTCACCACCACAAGGAAGACCATCAGCATTTATCAAAAAGCCAAGATCCATGCTCTTCACACTCTTTCTTCCTTTCTCTCTCTCTCTGTCTCTCTCTCTCTGTCTCTTACACACACTTCTGTTAAACTTTCTTCCATGGAATCTCGATGAATGGCATGAAGGACCAAAAAAAGTACCTTCAAGTTTTTCCACTTTTATTTTAATCCACTTAAACATATTTATGTCAACTCAGAGTGCATTGTTCTTTACATCATCCAATACCTTGCAACACCACCACTTTCATAAAATAGATCATTTGTCTACCACCACTTGCCTGCCTCTACCAGCCTCACCAGAACTCTTGTTTTTCTACTTGCCCTTTTACCAGTTCCCATCTGCTTCCACTGTTGGGTTAAGGTACAATAATATGCAATTAACTAACATATCCTTTACCTTTTTTCCTTTAAAGTTTCACTTTCTTTTAAAAACATTCTGTTCCCTCAGCCAGAATAAATGGACAGAATGCAGATGAAAGTAGCAAGTCATCTTGTCCAACTACTTGGAGAGCCTCAAGTGGACACTGGGTGGTCCATTTTTCCATGTCTGCATCCTCCAGTTCCATCATCCATTTCAGAGCTTATTTTCTACAGTATTTTTCTTCCTATTTTCTGTCTCATATGCAGGTAACAACAAATTATGTGATTGTTCAGCCAAAAATATTTTAAAAAACAAACCAGTGCCAAAACATTAAAAAATTCCTGACATACCCTTTGTGCATTAATCTTACAATCTGTACACTTAAATAACTCCAGGAGGCTTCTTTTTTTGCCAAAAATTTACCAAAATATTTTGAACACATAAAAATATTTTTAAAAAAACAAAAACAAAAGCCCAGCATAAATTTAGTTGTATAGGCATTGGTTAGAGGACATTGTTTTCTCTAAGGATTATATCCAAAAACTGTCTCTTGGGTTTTTACTAAAATTCTGATTCTGAACCTTATAGCTTGTAATGGTGCTAATAACTATTTTAAAAAAGGAGGAAATCTAATTCGGCTCAATGTATTATAATAGATAAAGAGTATGTCTGTACTATAATAAAAAATAAATGTGTTTTTGGTTATTTAGAGGCCATCTTCCTGGCCTGTAACTAAAATAACTGTATTTGCCATGAATAATGGAAAGCTAACTTAAAGGTTTGAATAATCAGAGGAGTAAGGAACACCTGTTGACGGCCCCGTGACCACTCAGAACCAGGCATTTGCTGAAAAAAACCAAATCACTAGTATTGAATATAGCCCTTAGTCATATGAGAGAGGAGTTTTATGAGCAACCCAGCATGTAGAGAACGAGGTTGACTTTGCCAGCCACCCACTCCTTGAGAGGACAGTAGTATTCATAGTGAAACTGCTCAAACTCGGGCGTCTGGCGGATTTCACATAAGAAGGAGAGATCAATACCTGACTCCAAAAGGAGGAGGAGCAGGGGGAATACAAAGAGCAGCAGCCCCAGGCCCACCACAAGGAGCCTGGAAAAACTCTTGATCAGTGGGTTCACCCGAATATGGCCACTCAGAATGTCATAGCTCCACGACAAAGCCTGGCGAGCCTCCTTCAGCTCCTCTTCTTCGGCCATTAAAAAGGCGTTTTCGTCTGCTTCCAGTTCCTCGAACGAGTCTGTGTCTTCTCTTTCCAACTCCAGCCTAGATGGACAGTCAAAGAGCATGTCAATCTCCTCATCGTCAACCGGGGTGGGGAGCAGGCTGGCACTGGGGTTGTATGCCAGTTCCGAGATGGTCAAGGGCTCTTCTTTCATTTTCTCTTCCTCTTCACTTGGGGGGTCTTCATAGTCACGGGATTCCTTCACTGGTGAGCTGGAGATCAAGGGGGCAGAAGTGGCATCTTCTTTGGGCAACGGAATACCTGTATAGAAGAGATGGATTTTTCTTAATTTTAAATTTCAGGTGTTCTTTTTCCACAAAGATCTGTAGCTTGAAACAAACCAAAACTAACGAATGGAATTTAGGGAATCCGTGAAATTGCTCTGTGGAATCCTGACTTTAAACAAAGTCATTTTTATAACAGATCCTACCATAAGTTTTAAGGTCAACATGTTAAACCCAAAATAACCAAAACACCTCAAATAGTTGGCAGTATTTACAACATTTACACGAGCAATTATGGTCTGAAAACCTCCAACTTTGGTCATGTCTGCAAGAATAAAAAGGCAGGAAATCACTATCATGTTATAATTTTGAGTGGTGTCTTTCACAGGTCAACACTGTCATCGAGTAAAGTATTACAGGAAAATTAGAGAATCTGCTAGCCAATGATAACCATTTTATTATATTATGTATTATGTTCTAGTCTTCATTCTAGGCACAGTTTTGTGGTTTTTCATTTTATATAATTGCAATCATATTGTATGAACAGATTTGCATCTTGGTCCTTTAACATTTTAACTTAGACATTTTCTGTGTTGATGTAAACTCCCATTGGCATTTATAATGGCTGCCAAATTTTCTACGTAGTTAATATCATATTAGTTGCCTGTTGGCAAACATTTAGATTGCTTTGCAGTTGTGGAAAAAATGCTATGAGACATCTTTATATATAAAACCCTTTTCCCCTCTCTTGTTGCAGTTCATTTGATGTCTGAAAGAAAAATTTCTTGGTCAAAGGGTATAAACATTATTTCTTAAAATTTACCAGGGAATAGGGTTTCTTAACTTCACGTTTTACAGACGAGAAATTCAGTTACCTACTATCAGGCCAAAGGCCAGCTCTCCTAACTTTGAATCTTGGGTTTTTACTGGGAAAGGCAGAATCAAAGAAATGTTCCCAGGATGGATCTATAGTATAATACTAAATTGGTAGTCAGATATATTAGGTAACTGTAAACCAGCTTTTTTTTCTTTTTTAATTGAGGCATAGTCAGTTTACAATGTTGTGTCAATTTCTGGTGTCCAGCAGAGTTTTTCAGTCATACATGAATTTATACATATTCATTTTCACTGTAAGCTACAAGACGTTGAATATATTTTCCTGTGCTATACAGTATAAACTTGTTTATCTGTTTTACATATACCAGTCAGTATCTGCAAATCTCGAACTCCCAATTTATCCCTTCCCACCCCTCCTCCCTGCAGGCAACCACAAGTCTGTATTCTATGTCTGTGAATCTGTTTCTGTTTTATATGTAAGTTCATGTCTCTCTCTTTTTTAAAAGATTTCACATATGAG